AATACGAGTGCAACGAAAACAACAAATACCTAAACCGAGAGCTACTATAGCGGCGCCCAATACTGACCAGACGAGGTAAACACTTGTGCCGTCCACTAAACCCCGCGCCAATCGCCGGACACAACAACCGGATTCGTGTGTCGGGTCGGGTGCGGACACGAGTTCATTAAAACAGATCCCCGGATCTGTACGACAGATGAGAGGAGACCCAAACGCTAAACAACCAGAACAGCAATCATTACCACAACAATCGGGAGATACGACACAACCAACCGGTGACAGTTCGGCGCCCAAAGCTCTGACTTTAGTCAATCTACCCGTCGATACAAATGTTGAATACTCGTTGGTTAATATGACATACAAATTAACTATGTGTCAAACACTAGACCCAAAATAGTGTTTATTTTATGAAAATTTTATATAAGAAAAAAACATTATGCCCAAAATAATCAGTCACCATGGTTATTTGAATGAAAATGTATGTAAAAAGTTTATTTTTAATGTAATTTTTGCGAAAGTATTTGTAATTTTTGCTAAAATAGTTGTAAAACAAAAACATTATGCCCAAAATAATCAGTCACCATGATTATTTGAATAACAGTGTTCAACAATTCAACAATAACAATACAACAGTGTTTGTAAAAATTTTATTTTTAATGTAATTTTCGCGAAAGTATTTGTAATTTAGTTAAAATAGTTGTAATACAAAAACATTATGCCCAAAATAATCAGTCATCATGGTTATTTAAATAAAAATGTATGTAAAAAGTTTATTTTTAATGTAATTTTAGCTAAAATAGTTGTAATACAAAAACATTATGCCCAAAATAATCAGTCATCATGGTTATTTGAATGAAAATGTATGTAAAAAGTTTATTTTTAATGTAATTTTTGCGAAAGTATCTGTAATTTTTGCTAAAATAGTTGTAAAACAAAACCATTATGCCCAAAATAATCACTCATCATGGTTATTTGAATAAAAATGAATGTAAAATTTTTACTGTTAATGCGATTATTGCGAAAGTATTTGTAATTTTTGCCAAAATAGTTGTAATACAAAAACATTCGCCAAAAACAACTCAACAAATAGTATATGTTTTAGCATTAAATTAATATTTTCGGATTCAAAGTGCCTCAAAATCTAGGCTGTTGATCAATTATATAAGTGAATTCACAAATTATAAAGAGTTAGTGCAAAATGCAAGCCATTAAGTGTGTGGTAGTTGGCGACGGGTATGCATTTTAAACTAGATTCATCTAAATTATTAAGTACATTTAATTAATAAATATGTCGAGCTGTGGGTAAAACATGTCTAGTGATAAGCTATACCACAAATGGCTTTCCCGACGAAAAATTCATCCCAACAGTGTATGTATTGATTAAATTAAATATTATACGCATTAAATAGAAATTACTTTATTATTAAAAGTTTCGATAATTATTCGGCTAATGTTACGATTGACGGAAAGCCCGTAAATCTGGGCCTTTGGGATACGGCTGGTCAGGAGGGTTACGATCGATTGCGAATACTCTCCTATCCACAGACGGTACATTCAATTTTACCAATAAATATTTATAAATTAATTGATAATTACATTATTATAAAGTAAATACACAAAAATTATGTAAAACAAAACATACAAATATAATTTATATTATATATTACTTTTAAAGGATGTGTTTCTAATCTGTTTCTCTCTCGTAAATCCGGCCTCATTTGAAAACGTCAGGTCAAAGGTAAGCCAATCCGTGCACATTGTGTTAATGCCTTAAACTATATGAAACTCGTGGCTATTACTGGATCAGTGGTATCCAGAGGTGAGCCATCACTGCCCGCAGACACCCATCGTATTAGTGGGAACTAAACTGGATCTGAGAGACGACCCGAAGATCAACGACAAACTCAAGCTCCGAAAGCTGCGGCCCGTGTCGTACGCGCGGGGATTGTCAATGGCTAAGGATATCGGCGCCACTAAATACCACGAGTGTTCGGCTCTCACCAAAAAAGGCCTTAAGAATGTGTTCGATGTGGCCATCCGTGCCGTCCTCTGCCTCCGGAGAGGGCCCCAAAGGCCACACAAGTGCACTCTTGTTTGAGTGACAATTGTTGTGTAGTTTTAATGTGATGTTCACCGATTATTTCAATTGTTTAGCTAACCATTGGTTAAATTAAATTTACCCACAATTAGTTTTGTTGTAAACCTATGAAACTACAATTATGGTTAACAAAAAGTTGCTCATTTGTTGATACTGATTTATTAATTGTTGTGATGATCATATTTAAAACCACTTATGGATATTATTATATCACTTCAAAATTGGTATTTATTAAAATTTATTAATTAGATAATTTAATAAACTTAAATTTATTAATGATTAATTGTTGTAAGAAAAAACAGGCCTTGGCACAGCCGCCAATGGTCATTTAACATTATAAAGGCCCTGGCACATCTCCATAGACTTAACATTATACAAGCCCTGAGACAGACACTTAAGATTACCCATAGCCTTAAAGTTAGATCGGCTCTAGACGACATATCGCT